CTCCGCTGAGTCATGGTGCTCCTCAGCCACGTCTTGAGACGCCGAAGAGTGGAGAAGCTCCGTTCACATTCACTCGAAGAAACCGGGCATACGAGGAGCAACTTGAGAAGGGTCGCAACTTGTGGGAAAAGGTCCCGTACTTCCTGCTTCATGCCACGGTATGCGACTTTACCTTCATGCGCACTGCTTGCCCCCGTTGTCTGCTTGAACATCGCCAGCTGTACCGTCAGGATATTTTTCTGAAGTTCCGGATATTTTTGGACGAAGGTCTCGTCTACAACTTTTCCAGAGAGGAGCATGTCCTCAAGCATCTTGTATGCAGCCAGATCGGTCTTAGACGGATCATATCTCTCGTTCAGCTGCACCACCACGGCATCGATGAATGAGAAGTATTGCTGCCTGTAGTGCTGTTCGGCACTTGTTGGGTTGAAGGGTGTCGCTGGCCCAGTGAGACAGCGAGGAGGAGTTCTTTTCCTTGGAACACGAAGTGGATCTAATCCAAGCTCATCAGCCTTCGATGCTGCTTTCCGGTACAGGACATGGAATTCCTCATCTGTCCGCCATGAATTCACCTGCTTCGTTGTTACTTTGACTGCTTCTAACATACCTGTGCAGCGAAGATATGGGTGAAAAAATATACAAATATTAAATTAAGGAAGAAGCAAACTAACATTTCGAGTTTCATGTAGAAAAACTAGATCTCCACAACTTTGTAAAATAGTTTCTTCAAATAATTGAAAGAAAAAACATACACAGGTGTAATTTAAATATCGAACCTGAAACAGCAGCAGAGCGGGCTTGGCAGGACCGATTCAGCTGCTCAATGGCTGCGATTGGCTTGGTGACCATCTCGAGGCTGAGGTAGGTCTCTCCCTTCTCAAAGCGATCAAGTAGGCCGTTCGCCTTGACAGCCGATTCTGATGAGCCCGATGACGCCATGTCTCTGAGACTGTCGAGAACAGCCAAATAGTTGTCTTTGACGGAGAGTATGGCAGGCAACCTACAGAGCCATCGAGTCGGACAAAGAGGGCGAATCGTTGAAGGCTTCACCGGCTGGTCGTCGGAGAGGCCTTCGTGTGCGATCTCCTTGAAGATGGCCTAGGTGGATTCAAAAGTGAAGCATGGACCGAATAGTTGTGACACGAGTGAATACTGATAGTCGTTGTTTGCATCACCTTAGAAGCAATTAGCAGTCAACACACAATACTTAGAAAATATAAAATATTAAAATAGAAGTGTTTGAAATTGATAATTTTGTACTCACTTTGAACTTTCCAGATCTCTTGAACAGAACACCAAGCTCATGCACCCACTGGATAGCTTCTCGAACAGCAGGGCAACCAGAAACTGCATTCTGCGTGATAAGATTTGCAACGTGAGATCCGCAATGAAAATGTAATGCCAGCGGTTGTCGATCCTTCACCTTAGCTTGACACCCCTTGTACTGACCCATCATGTTTGCTGCCCCGTCATACGTCTGGGCTCTCAAGTTATCACTTGGTAGTGACAGGCGGGTGATGACGTCGAAAATCATGTTGGCAATTACTTCACCGGATGTGATGGGAAGTTCGTACAAGCCAACGAAGTCCTCATGCACATGAAGATTGTCGTCTACATGCCTAAAACATATCGACTCTTGTTCTACACCGCTGATGTCTTGTGTGCCGTCTACCATGACACTACTACGTAGTACGGCTTATTTACGTGCTACGTTTGGAATGTCGGAATCATTAGAGTTGACGTTCCACATGCCCACTTATGTATGTTGTATGTGTGTGTGTGTGTGTGTGTGTGTGTGTGTGTGTTGTTGTGTGTGTGTGGTGGTGTGCGTGTGCGTGCGCTGTGGGTGCGTGCGTGCGTGCGGTGCGCGATGTTGCGTGTGTCGTGGGGCGGTGTTACTTCAGATTTATACTGAGAGACGTGACATGCTATGATGTGGTTGCTCTGCTAAATAGAGGGTTTTTGGTAACCTAGCTTACCGTGTTCACAGTTAGAAACTTTGTTGTCGAAAAGAAGCCAGGCGACATTTTCAATTATGTGTCCATTGACGGGCCGTTATAATGGCAACAGTTACTCGATCTAGACCCCAACAGCAAACGAAAAGTAAAGTGCGGTTGTAGATTTTGCTCGGTTCAGACGTACGCTCGGGTCGTATACACAGAATTCGTGATGTACATTTCGGAAATAAAGTAATGAGTAATACGTGTCTATGATCGGCGAAATTTAGTGTGTTTAATCTACTTAATGCCAACGCGTTACTTATGCTTGAATAGTCGTTCACAGAATAAGTACCTGCCACTGGGATGGGATAGACTGAAAGCTCAATCCATATAGGTATAATTACAGTCGCCATTAGGCTCATACATATTTGTCATATTATTAACCGAAATTCGGCATCAAATCTACGAATGAATTGCTCCATTCAGCATGTATTCACAGCCATCCAGATTCACGTATGAATCGCACCAGTATTTCGTAGCTAACCGTTAGACGTTAATTAGTGCTTCAGAGTTGTCTAGGCAAGATTGCTTAATCATGTTAATGGGGCAGTATGGAGCGTCTTAGCGCCGCTACTGGGTTATAATGATGCAATAACTATTTTAGTCACGCATAGCTACAGGAAATACGCCACACAAGCAGAGTTATATGGATCGGCGCTACCAGTTGAAGTTGTGACGATCGAGTGTTATTAGAAAGGCCTGTTGGCTTTAGACTTCCGTATGAGTATATTAGGGCTACAGGGAAGCGCCGCATCCCTGAGACACGAGGCGTGAATGACACAGTCTCTCGTCGCACGATGAAATATTGGATTGGCCTAGGTTTTAAAACCACCAGGCCGTATTTGTGGATACCCCCGTTACCTTGGAGATGAGCCAGGAAGTGGATTCTTTGGAGAAATCTTTCAGCCTCAATCTATGATAGTGTTGAGGCACTGTGACTGATGCTTAGCCTGCGCAGGAAGCAGAATCAGTCTTTACTCTATCCAAAGGGAGCAGCGCCCCTAATGTGCCTGGAGCGCTGAAAGCGCATCAGACGCGGTTGAAATGCTCGCAACGCGATCCCCATTAAAGTTTGTCCCATTAAAGCGTCCCTCGAGAAATGCGAAGCAGTATTTTTAGCGCGTTAGTTTGTTAGTCGACTTGTTGTAGATCCACGTACAGGACTCAGCATAATCGGCTAGGTAGGGACTTACGCTACTGCCAGAGATGGCTAATGTAGGTAAAGTTAACGGATGTTTAATAATACATTTTGACAAAGAACTGCACGCGCCGCTAATCGGACCTATACACAACTTCCGTGGATGATGGCGTAAAGCTATTTGACTCGTTTTACATGTAATATTGCTGCTGTTTTGATGGAACTCTGCCCGTGTTTCTGCGCTAGCATTCACACAACACACAACCGCACACACACACAACAGCAACACACACCACACACACACACCAGCACACACACACACGCACGCCACGCCCGCACGCACGCACACACGCAACACACTGTACCCCCCCCACACACACGCATATTATAATCTATTGATACTGTTCGCCATTAGAGAAAAAGGAATTAGAGAACGATCGCGTGAGGCCATAATTACCGCGCAAATGCCGTCGGCTTGCGTTTAATTTTTTTTTCGTTTTTTGCGTCGGCCCCTTTTTTTTTCAGGCCGCGTGCGTGTTATCCAGCGCCATTAAGCAATAATCGTTTAGATAAAATGTTTCTGCGTTGAATGGAGCACGTAAATACCTTATAAGCTGTTTCCGTTATTGAATTTTTCCTAAATTTCTACATGCATGTATTCTTTTATCATTTTTAATATATATTCAGCAGAAAAACTTCGCGCTGCGTTATCATAATAGTATTTGCAGCACTGATCCCAGTCCTAAATCCATCGAACGTAACACTGTTACAGGAGAGATCAGCATCTGAAATATGAACAAACAGCCTTCCAAATACCAAATGTGGTGGTGCACACGACGACATACAATATCAAATAAATGCAACACAATACGCTATCGTCCGCTCTCATTATTAAAGATTTATTATTCAATTATATTTAATACATTATTCTAATATTATATATATATTTATTTATTTATGTGCTGTGGTGTGCGTGTGCGTGCGTGCGTGGTGCGCGTGCGTGTGTTGTGTGATCGTGTGTGGATGTGTAGTGTGTGTGTGTGTGTGGTGTGTGTGGTGTGTGTGTGTGTGCGCGTGTGTGCCGTTGTGTGTGTAGTTTATTACAAAAGCGAAATTGCGCCAACAATGTTAGTGTCTTGGAATACCCACGTAAGTATCTAGCTGAGCATAGTATCGGTATATAGAACAGGTAGATACAGTTCCTCTCTTATTCAAGTTAAACGATCGGGCAGTTATTTTCAATTGGAATGCAAAGCGCTTTCACGCGCGCGACTAGGCTAACATCCTCATGAAGCAGTGTTTTCTATTCGATACATGAATCATGCGCGCACATATGCCCTAACGGCTTCCTTAACCAGAATATAAGACAATTCCGTACATATTCAGACCATCCAATCGACCCACCGGTATTTTAATTAGAATACAAACCACTTTCTTAATCTAACCGTATATTCTACTCCTTACTAAAAGCACATGATCACTTGGCTATATCTCGCGCATTGAATACACGCGCGAAATCAACGGAGGCTCAGAAGCTTGCGCGCGCAACTTTTCAACCGCCCATATAATTTAGTAGGGAGGGCCTAATTTCATTGTAATTAAAAACCACGGGTTTGAATACATTTGGAAGTTTTGAACAAATTGTTGCTTGAAATTTGTTGTTGAATATTTGTTTTGGAATATTTAATCACGACTGAATCATTTTTTGCGAATAACTTATGGGCATGTTATGCAACACACGATGGCCTATATTTGACGCATCACACGCTTCACGTGCCGCTTGCAAAACCGCACCGTAACGCGAGCTAACGAACAAGAACAATGTAGCCTCTATTATTCTGCTTCTCTGCCATCTAACTGACGATTTCAGTGAAATTTTGATGCTTGATATCATACCCGTGGCCGTAGTTATTAATATTATAGTTAACATAGACTAGAAATATGCTGATAACCGGTGCTATGCCACAGCTCGGCGTATCTATTTTCAGCCTACTTTTAATTCCTGAAATCATGAAGCATAACCCATAAAATTATATTATGACATGTGGATAACCGCTAGTTATTCTAATGAATAACTAGGTGCTGGCTTAATTTTAAGTCCGCTCACTTATAGGAAGTGTCACATTAAACCATTTTCGTCCCCCCCCCCCCCCCCCCCCCCCCCCCCCCCCCCCCCCCTGTTTAATTGTCACAATGGTTGAGTATAGAGCAGACTTTTGCACGCGCTTCTCAAAAACAGTCGTGGCCCTATAGCCATTTGACCCTTGAGCGGGATTTTAGATTGGTCGGTAAGGCAGAGTAGGCGAATAACGACCGCCAATAGTTGAAACTCTATCGATCTGTATCATATATGTCTTATCCACAGACCCTAAATCCCGCCAAATACGTAACGTGGTCGCTCTGTGTAGCGGCGGCACAGGCCATTCGGTACGTATATAGGTAGTTGCACTTGCCACTAATACTCTCGTTATAGTCACCGCTACTCTATCCATTCTGACGACACTTGCCTGCTACTATACGGCGTGCATCGTTGCGGATTTGCTGTGTCTGTTGACTAAAAAGCTCCTGCCTTATGGGCCTTTGCTTTATAACTGTACTACTATTCGGCAGCTATATTGCCTCTCATCCTCCTCCTCCTCCTCCTCCTCCCTCCTCCTCCTCCTCTCCTCCTCTTCCTCCCTCGATCCTTCT